ATATATATGGGAATATTTTTTTTAAATCTTCTTCTGAAGATTAACAAAACCATGATTGATCATATTTTTATTGAAGCATCTTTAGGTAGTGTAGATTCAAATTTGTTCAAATCATGACCCCCGGGGTAGGGCGGAGCCACAATGTCCGACCAAATTTACATAGAAACATATAGGAAAATTCTTTAAAAATCTTCTTCTCAAGAATAACAAAGCCATGATTGATCATATTTATATGGAGGCATCTTCAGGTAGTGTAGATTCAAGTTTGTTCAAATTATAACCCCCGGGGGTAGGGCAGGGCCACAATGGCCGACCAAATTTTTACATAGATATATAGTAAAATTCTTTAAAAATTTTTTTCTCAAGAATAACAAAGCCATGGTTGATAATATTTATATGGAAGCATCCTCAGGTAGTGTAGATTCAAGTTTGCCTGGCGTCGGTCTGTCTGTATCTCTTTCCGTCTCTTATAACCTAATTTTTATCTTTATAAACTGTCTTTCCCGGAAACATCGGACTGGAATCGCTGAAACTTGTGAAAGTGTTTCCTGAGATAGTTGTTTTCTAATTTGATTGAAATCGTTGCCCACTTGGGTAGGGTTGGGTCACAATAGGGAATAAAAATAGCATTGAAACGAAAAAGAAAATACCTTTCAAGGCTTCTCCTAAAGAATCTTTGGGACAAAAATCTTAAATTTATGTAAAAGCTTACATTCTTTATCAATATTTTAAATAGTTCAAATCATAACCCGGAAGAAATATGATGCGACAAAAAGAGATTTAACATGATGAAATAACATATAAATAAAAAAGATTAATTGAAACTTCAAAAACTAATTGGCCAGGTATTTAAAAATTAAATGAATTCTTCTTGCAAAAGTGTAAATTCAAACTTGCTCCAAATATAACCCCTGTGTTAGTGTGGGGCCATAATACGGAAAAATATGGATATAGGTTATTTATTATCAAGATAACGGGAGCAGGGTCAGGCAATAGAAAGGAATTCAAATTTTACATTTAAACTGATAAAAAAATCCTAAACTTATTTTCTATTATGCAACATACACTTATTGGTCATGTCATGGAAATACGAAATTTTCCCCACAAGCACTTTATTGCGCAATACAAGTTTCCCTAAAGTTTAGCGTAAATAATTTTATGACCTAACATCTTAAAAGGAAAATATCTTTTTTTCATTCTATGACATTTTAACATGTATAAAATAGAAGGAAATTGGATTTGAATAAAAGATTAAATGTATTAACAAGCGTGAAAATGTGTGATTGCGGGAAAACGGTATATGCGTGATTTTGCGTTAGAAATAGAAAATGATATATATGTGTTAAAGTGCATGACTGTGGAGAATTGGGTTAAAATACTCAAGAACAGAAAAAAATGATTTACGGTACTTATCCTCATGTTGTAGGATACCTTGCTCGTATTGTTTTATACAAATGTATTTGTTTGGACAAACTTTAATCTACACCACCTGAAAATGATTCCATTTTACTAATCACAGCTTTGTTGTTCTTGAGAATAATTTTAAAAAGTTTTCCCCCATCTTTTCTTATGTCAAACCCGTTGTTGCCCACCCTTACCTCGGTAGCCATGATTTGAATAAATTTTTATCTACCATACTTCACAATAATTCCACATAACTTTATTTCTTAAGTGGAAAATAGTTCTTATTTTCAGTTGATCGAAAGAAAAAAATGCAATTTATTTTTCAAGTATTCATAATTACATGAATCTCTTCTTGGAGGAAATTACGGCCCTCCATGTGAATAAATTTGATTTCTCTTTACCAAAGGATTCTTTGCTGCAGTTTTGTTTTTAAATTGATCAGGTGTTTCATGAGAAGAAGATGAAAGTGTGAAAATGTGAAAAGTCTACAAAAGTGAGGACGACGACAGAAAACAGACATATTTCGTCAGAGAAACTCGCTTAGCCTTTGGTTCAGTTGCGCTGAAAAATCCTTTCTTTGTATATGTATATGTGACGCGCCAAACAAAAACCTCCCTTATCTCTATTATGACGTAACGTCAAAAGACGCGTCTAAAGTCAATGAGGTAAATGCGACGTAAAAACACCTCCTCGAGAAAAAAACTCTCCCCTGTAGAACAATGGGATGTTTTTTTATGTATATGCTGAGAAAGATTCTTGGGTGTGGTTTGATGTACTTTATTCTCTAAAAAGTTATTTTCCGTCAAGTATCAGTGTGACGTATCCTTTTCACAATTATTAAGAGTACATTTTTAAAGATGTCCAGTGATGGTTAAAAAACTCCCGTAAGGCTGTTTTTAAAATGGAGTTTGTTTGCCGTCTTTCTATTTTGTCGGAAATGTTCAATATTGAATAAAGGCGTTTCTGAATTTAAAAAAAATGTTGTTGATTGGATGAGAAAATTCCGGAATGAATAATTTGGAGGTTTAAAAAAGATTTTAGTCGGTCAATTTTAAATGTTAAGGCCACACCAATATATTTTTTGTTCGTCGGACCCGCGCGCTGGTATTTAAAAAAAAACTATACAAATAATATTAATCTAAAATCCCCGCACCATGGAAATTCTGTGCTGTTTTCTGATCTATTTCCGCTCTATTTATCGGACTTTTAATCTATTTACTCTGCAAATCGGAAAAAATATAATTATCCGCTCAATTTTTTTCATGCCCCGCCTAAAAATTTTGGCTACGATAAAGTAATAATATTATTATTTAACCGCTAGCCCGCTCGTACTTTTTTCATCAAATGTCCGACGAACAAGAAATTAAATTGGCGTGGCCTAAGCAAGTTTTTTTTAAAGATTTTTAAATTCAATTTATATTGTTAAGCACATGCAGGAAAATTAAACTAGGTAAGGTGCCTTTTTTAAAATAGCGATGCAGTGAAAATTGACCTGAATTACCTCTCTTAGCTACCCAATTTATAACGCTGTGGTTCATATAAAAAAAAAATCGTACAAAAATGGTACAATAATATTGAAATGTTACGTCAGGCGGATCAATGTGTTTTTTTATGCAAGTGATTGTGACCGAGGTAACCCAATTTTTTATGCAATAAAAAGTAATTTATTTATCCAATCAAATACCAGCTTATAACCATAATTAAATTAAAGAAGTTTATAATAATCTTTTTAACTTCCGTAGATGATGTAAGTTATGGAAAAATACATCGTCTTTGTTGCACTTTTGTGTGCAAGTAATAAGAACTGTACATATTTTTTTATGGCTTGCCAAGGATATTGATAAATACATGAATTAAAGTTTGGTTAAGAAATGTAATTCCTTATAGGTACGACACAGAGTATTTGACTTGGCCACTTCTTCGGAATTAGCTTTTAGCTGTTGATTTAAAATTAATATTTTGATGAAAGATCTTTTGACCTTCTCAATTTATTTTGTTATTATTTAACACTTTCTCATGTTGTACGCAAAAAAGTAGGAAAACTTCGCCCCCGTTCTCCTTTGTCTGCTCTATCTCTTTTGAAACTTGTAATTTACAGTGCGGATGCTCACATACATTGTACAGTGGCTGTCCCACTTTCTACGATATTTTATGATTGAGAATGAAACAGATTGACATATGTTTATCGACATTTCTAGGGAAAAATTAAACATTCCGTTATTTTGCTTCACTGTTATGTATCCATAACCCGTTTGTTGAGGTTACATGATACATTCAATTAAAATTGTTATAAAGTTATACATATGTTACAAATTAATACAAATTATTTGAACACTTTTAAAACATTCCAACCTAATATTATTTTACATAGGCGTCGGACCCGGAGGGGGGAGGGGGGCTAGGGTATTTGGAAAAAAAAATTGGTACTGAAGTTCGAACCTACCCCCCCCCCCCCTAGGATTTTCGTGTTTGTGAAAAGGACACCCCCCCTTTCTTTCTCTTTTTTTTTGCTTGTCAGGTTTTTTTAAGGTTTAATTTATTTTTTACACTTAGCCCCCCCTTTCAATTTGCTTCCGACGCCAATGTTTTAAACATGATTTTTCTACCAAAGGGTCTTTTGGATATGGGTCCCGTGTCACGGTAGGCGCTGGCACGACAAAGAACCCTCACTGCTTAATGGCCCTAAGTGCCGAGTATAGGTCTAAAATTGAAGCCCTTCCCCGGCTTATGGTGAAGTCTCCAGATGAGTGAAAAATTCTCAAGAGGGACGTTAAACAATATAAACAATCTTAAGGTCTTTACAACCAAAAATCTTTTAAAACATTTTATAAATTTTATAAATGTTGTGTTCTAATTTTTTTTTCTGATAACATCCTTTCAAGGGGGACGAAATGTTATGGGAACGTTATTTTGCTAGTTATTCAGTGTAAAAATAATAGTCTCATAACTATTAACGTCAGTAATTATCAATCCTATAATACTGTTTAATATATAGTCTATTTATAGTCCCTATATAATCTATACAAACGCAAACAGTTCATAACACTACATATTCACCGGGTTTTAGGCCGTATTCACCGGAGGGTTAATGCCCGTGGAACGGCATTGTGACGTCACAATCAAAACATCTAACAACGTTGTAAACAATGGTTGCAACGGCCGCAGTAAGCTACGTATCTGACCAAGAAAAGAATTATTCAAACCTATTTCAGGATTATTTTTTAACACCTGGACGTCTGACACATAGAAACTCGGAAAGGAAAACACGATGGTTACAAACAGTAATCTGGAGATTTTTATTTTCATTTTCAAATAAGGAAGTTCGCAAATGAAAATGGTGTCGTCATACAGCCTTCATTGTCTTATCTATTAAAATCCCGACTATATAATAAAACAATTATGAACTATTTTGGTGTTGAATATGGTTTGTTATTCGCCGCGGTCAATATGAATATTTTTCTGGTGAATAACAAACCATATGCAACACCAAAAGAGTCCATAATTGTATAATATTGCGATATATTTTCATTTTTTGTCCTCTATACACTTATAGCCTAGATCAAATTTTAAATGTCCTTATTAATTTGTATTTGCAGCTCAAGCAATGGAATACATCAACGCCCATCCTAATTATGTATATTTTGGTCGCACGACAGAACAAACTGAATATCCAAGGTATCCACTGACAATTGATGTCCCGTATTATAACGATGCAGAGGACGTTATTTTGATGGAAGTGAATTGGACAGAGCTTCCAAAGCCATTCTATTTGGACAAATCGGATGTACAACCAAAAACAGTTAACATTATTGGTCATCCAGGTTCCTATGGAAATGATCAAATATTAGATACCAAATGTCCATTGATTTCGATGAATGTCGCCTATACAACCCATTATGAAGCAGTCAAGTGGTGGAAGGGAAATTGTTCCAAGTTGAGCCATGAAAGAATTATAAAGTCTTATGATGAAATGATCTGTAAGAAAAAAGTTCTTTTCCACTGCTCGAAAACCACAACGCATGGAGCTTCTGGAAGCCCTGGAATCATTGATTTAGACAAAGGGTACCCAAACGTTTATTTAATGCTCCAAGAAGGTTATCCTGGTTTTGCACATGATGATATGAAGGAAAAACTTCCGAGTTGTCCAAAACATTATCTTGTTGAAGGTGGAATCAGCATGCTCGGTGTTTACAAGCTTTTAAGCACACCACAGTTTACAGATCTTCGAAATAATATTTTTCACAATTAATCTGAATATATTGCATGTGTTTGATGTGTTTTTTTTGTCTGTCTGTCTGTGACCCCCGGGGGTAGGGCGGGGCCACAATGGAAGACCACATTTTTACATAAAAAAATATAGGATTTTTTTTTTAAATCTTCTCAAAAATAACAAAGCCATAATTGGTCATATTTATATGGAAGCATCCTCAGGTAGTGTAGATTCACGTTTGTTCAAATCTTGACCCCCGGGGGTAGGGCGGGGCCACAATGGACGACCAAAGTTTTACAAAGAAATATATAGGAAAATTCTTTAAAAATCTTTTTCTCAAGAAAAACAAAGCCATAATTGATCATATTTATATGGAAGCATCCTCAGATAGTGTAGATTCAAATTTGTTTAAATAATGACCTCCCGGGGTAGGTCGGGGCCAAAATGGCCATCCAAAGTTTTACATAGAAATATATAGGAAAATTCTTTAAAAATCTTCTCACGAATAGCAAAGCCATGACTGGACATGGGACTACTTTTAGATTTAAACTTTTCAATAATAAATCAATTTCTACTTTTTCCTCGCCACAGTGCTCAGGTGAGCGATGTGGCCCATGGGCCTCTTGTTTTATATATTTCAACAGAAATTTACCACTTGTAAAACACATTTTATGCTAACTTACTATGTCGCTTTTTATCAATATTAATTCTTTACTATATAATATGCAGACAGAGTTTCCCTTTATTTTATTGTATTCCTTTTTATACAATTTTAATGTTAAGGTAAAATACAGTATTACTTATCCTGTAAAACATAATGATCTAAAGTCTGCGCTGTCATATTACTCATAAGCTACTAGGATACAGGGATCAAATTGTCTGTGTTTATATTCGAAATTTTTATTTTTTTTTCGGTGAGACGACTTGTAGAATATACTTAAAACATATTGTGAGTTTGTATGCCAAAATAAACTTGTCTTTAAACATTGTCAGTTTAAAAAAATCAGAATCTGGCAGTGACTCTTTTGTACTCTGTAAAAATGTATCTGAATTTCACCGTCTATTATTCGCTGTTTTATTTTTTTTAAAGTACGACAATTTAATGTATCAGAAAAACTCCAAAATACCTTTTCCCCCAAAACGTGGTTTAGTATTTGACTAAGAATAAATGTGAAAATATATCTATTTTGATATACACTCCTGTATATCTGTTATTGAACGCTTTACATATTTATAGCTTTGTGTACGGAATTTTTGATATATACTGAAAGGAAAAAGAAACGCAGGGTAGCATAATTTTCAATAAAGATTTGACCACATGACCGAAAATTGCGAAAATTTGTCAGAAGGGAAATTTAGTTACTGTGCATCAAAATCAGTATTCAGAATTACTCAACCGTAAAATATATTACGTCACATAGGGAAAACGCTAAAAAGCTCAAAACACGTGCAATTTAATAACGACGAGTTTGTCAACAAATCTTGTTGCATTATTTGATGCATATGAGGTATGCACATCGTTTTTCAATATTAAGAGACATTTTGAATTTATTGCAATCTTGGCACAGTTTACGGAAGTTCAATGGGGTCTTGTTTTCGGATTGCTTAATTATTGAAAAAGGCAACAACGGTTTACTAAGCAGTCTCTTGTAAATTTTTCCCCGTAAAACGTTTTAGCTGTTGTCAGAGAGGGTCTGGAGTGGTTTTCAATCAACTGTGACGATGACGGTAACGCGAAACATAGTCATGTTACGAGCGGGTTATTCTTCCTGCCATCTCTTAAGGTGATTCGAACCTGTCGTGAAAGTAATTGGAATTTTAAAAGATGGTTACCTTCGGATAAAGGACAAGTTTGTGGTTTAAGAATCATAAAAAAATATATATCTTAATGCGCTCGTTTCCATGGCAACAACCTCTGAATATGCCCTTGTTTGAAAATGTAAAATCTGTGAAAAAAATCCCACTACCAGTACAAAAAAGTATTAAAAAACTTAAAAATTATCATCAGAATTTATTTATGTTCATGTTAAAAAAAGGGTAACAGATCAACATCATCTTGTCATTTTTACACATAGATAGTACATTCCAACAACATTCTACGACAGCCTGAATTTCCTCTGTCGTCTTAAAAATTGCCAATTTTTTCTTAACCTTGACAACAAAAATGGTTATAAAAACACACTAAAAGTAATAGGATATTTATTTTCTAAACTTTATTTTAAATAAGAGATATATAGCTAAGTAACAGAGGGGTGAAATTGGTATGGTCATGAGTCAAATAAAAAGATATTCTAATCCGAATTTCCTCTGGTCCATTTTTAAAATTACCCCGAAATACATACATTGGCAATCGTTGCTATACAACTTAATCAAAATTTATCAATGTCAATTTATTTAATGAAATATGTTAAAAACAAACTTTAAAAAAATACTTTTGAAGAAAAAATAAAATAAAATTTAAAGAATTTTAAAATTTACATCTAATTTCCGTATTTCCTATGCTCTTTTTTAACCTAAAACTTCTGAATTGATTCTTGCCGAATTAAACATTTAACACAATATCATGATACAAAATTTTTCATAATTTTTTAAAGATTTTATATGTATACCTAATTTAGAAAATAACACTCACATATTTGCACAGTTAAGGTGAAAAAAGTGCACATTTCAAATCCGAATTTCCTCTGAATTTTTAAAATAACAAATCAATGATGTAAAGAAATCTGTGAGCCAATGCTCACTGGCTATTCCCCCGCTCCGATGAAGATAAGCACTATCATGTTAATATACACAAGTTCAATTACAGGCAGATGCACAGAAAAATATGAAGTTGACATCAGATTCATATCAAAATTATTCCGACCATATGGCATGCCTCAACAAAGAGTGTAATAAAATTTCAAGCATCAGCTATGAATAGCTAATGAGAAAACTGCGACGAAAATTTGTTATGTGTGAAACAGACAGACGCACAGACAAACAGGATTTTGATATCCAATTTGAAAAAAAATGTAGCTAAACATATAGCATACCTTAGAGAAGATTGTGTTTAAATTTCAAGCATCTACAATGAGTAGTTGCAGAGAAAACCGCAACAAAAATTTATTATGCATTAAACGGTCAGATGCACAGACAAACAGGAAGTTGACAGAGGATTTGAGCCAAAATGTATTCCATCATATGGCATGTATCAGAGAAGATTGTTTTAAAATGTCAAGCATCTACAATGAGTAGTTGCTGAGAAAACTGCGACGAAAATTTGTTTTGGATGGACACAGACAGACAAATAGACACAAAATGGTAATACAGTATTCCCCCTCTCCTTCTGAGTGGGGTATAAAAAATATATATTCATGGACTGACCTTTTCTTGCCATTTAAAATATTTTTATATCATATTGGAATATGGAACATAGTGATATACATATGACCCAATTTCAGTAAATTAAGAATAAGAACAACGGTTTACAATCCAAATTTCCTCTTTTTGAACACATACACACACACACAAAAGGAATTTTAAAGATTTTTTTAAAAAATCTAGAAAAACATGACAAAAATGACAAACCACTTATATAACATTTTTGAAGAAGTTTTCCCATTATATCACAAATATATCATTTTTATCAATATCCCCAGAAAACTGCTTAATCATGCCGGATATAGTTATGTTCCACCGCTGACAGTTATATTACCCTCCCAAACACATTTATGTTCACTGGCGTGCAATCATTCTGCATATTAAATATGTCAGGTTCGAAATTTACAGAGGCAGTTGCTAAGCAAACATAGAAATTTCTGCTAAAATTAAAAAGTTGGGACAACATCTGAGATTTGTTTATTTGAATTTAGATAAATTAAAATAATTAAATTGAGGAGAAAAAAATCTTTAAATACAACAAAGGTTACCAACTTATCAGTATATTGAAAACTCTCTGCAATGAAACAGCACGAATATTTCTGAATTATACTCAACGTACATGTTTACCTAGGCCTAGTGTTCAATAAATATGATCGATGATTGTTTAGGATTCAATGATTAAAAATGTTATATACCATATATAACATGGCTTAATTCTCGGGCATTAATACATGTACCAAAATATTTGCCCCTCTGTGAAAGGAAAGCCCAGAAGTGTTATGTCGCCCTTTGCCTTTGGCATCAGGCGACATAATACTCCAGGGCTTTCCTGTCACCGAAGGGCAAATATTTTGGTATGCTGCCCTTGAAACCATGTTATATATGTATAATTTATCATTGCTTAACTTTTGCAAGCTTAAACTTAGGAATAACATAAATGGGCACACTGAATGGAAAAAAAGAAGGATTTAGTATGACAAAAGTTTCTCAAAAAGTATATCATTTACATGTTTGCAGCAGGTCTGTTCATATAAAAGTGCTTTAAATCTTAAAGCGGGTTCTGACACAAATGCTTCTTCCCATTATTTTCCAACTTTAATCTTGACTTTCTGTGGCTTTCAATTGGTAGAATTCTGATGAACAATTAGCCTAGGTCTTTCATTGCAGCTTGAGTGTAAACACCTCAGTCATGTTGACATGTAGCAAATTCAACACAGATGTGATTCTTAGTCTGAAGAAAAAAAAACTTTAGTTCAAATACAGCCTTATTGAAAGGTGGATACTGAATACAAATGTAATAATGTAACATCTGTTATAAAATTACCTATTACTGACTGATTATTGATATTCTAATAGTAATAATTCCAATGAAATAACCTACAAAATAATATTTACATTCCGCATGTATTTAGCCTATGAAATGCATAGAACTTGAGGCATATAATACAAAATTACATTGACAGTAAGCTCAAAAGGTAAGTATTACGTTTTTTTTTTCAATTTTATGTTTAAGTCACAAACTTTGAATACTGTGCAACATCATAAGGGAAAATCAAAAATCACTCTCAAATTGAAGAGTTTAACATTCATTTTCTAGATTTGGCATGGCTCTTTCATTAATATAAATTTACCCCAAGAAAAAAAAAATCACTTATCTGACAGTATTCAACTTACATGTGAATTTCATAGACTTCTCTGAAAATTTTAGACCTTCCTTTTTATAAATTACTTCCGAACAAAAACTAATAAATGAATGCATTTTGTAAACAAGAACTTAGAACCAGTGTCCTCAATAATGTTTCATAACATGAGAATACATTTAATATAATAATTGGTCAGCTGTTTTTTTTAAAGACTTTTTATCATGTTATTTTACACTGTGTGACATTGCATCAAGTTTGTAGGAAAGACATCAACTCATATTTTAAAAATCATAAACATGGGAGCTATTTTTATCAGTCACTCAATGACAAATCATGAAATGTGCATGCTTTTTTTGCTATTTTCTCATTTGTGGGAATAAATTCAATATTTTTTTTAAGGACAAGTACAAAATATCTTGATGAAGAGAATAAGAACTCACAGCATCAATGGTGTCATTGACTCATTCTATGCACTGCCCATAGCAGCCATTAGATTTTTTTCCCTTCATTTTCGAGATGAGACAAAAGCGAACATAGATCAGATTATACTTCTGCATTTACTAGATGAGCTAACCTTTCATCATGATGTAAATAAAATGTGTCTTCTTAGAAGACATTGCGTACCAAACATAGTAAACAAAAAGTCTCGGTCGGAACGTTTTGTTGTATTTAGTCTTTAAGGCCTACCTGAAAATCACGGGGTACATTTTTATCTTGTCGTGCATGTTGTACCTAGAAATAAAATCGTCTGAACGGTTGTTGCAAGGTTCCAAACAACATATATCAGTACACTTCTTGGATACAAAAAACAACCGAATAAAGTGTTTTTTCTTTGAAAATAAAAGAGACTGTCTCTCTGTCAACATTGTGGCGGAAAACGGCCAGTTAATTGTCGTAAATTCCTAATGTCGGAAGAAGACTCGAAAATCCAATGTTGAATGATTTTATCAGAATTCTATTGACAATTACTTTATTTTTCTATCAATCGTTGCTTGTGGTCCATTAAATTACTTTTAAAACAAAATGAAACGTAATAATGAGTATCACGACGTCAGCAGTGATCAGCCTATTTTCAGCAGTTCGAGTTCCGCGGTAGATTTGATTTCGTCATGTTCGAATCACCTTAAATCGCCACCTGACTTCCACAAAAACAGCCATTTATAGAGAAGATGATTATAATCATTACATTCATACGAAATTTGAAAGAAAACAGTTCTGCAATTTGGTTTTTTGAGCCAGTCAACTTACGGCTGTATTCCTTTCACTGGCGCATGCGCGCACTGTTTGACTTTTTTTGCGTGGTTACCCATGCTAAATATAGCCAGAATTTAAAAAATAAACACTCTGGTGAAATTCCATGCAAAGGAGAAATAAGACTCTGACAAATTCACGAGATAGACATTGAAGATAATGAGAGTTTTCGATTTTCACTTTTGGGGGGTATCGTCATTTGAGCTTCAATAACTTATGAATAATTGGACAAAATCATATGAGAACTTGGTTATATCTTTTTGAAAGATGATTTTAAAAGGTTGATAGAAAAACTAAAAAGTATTTTGAGTAAAAACAAATTTAATTCACCTCAAAAGTTTACCCTGCGTTTCTTTTTCCTTTCAGTATATCTTTGTGTACCAGATATACGAATTCATTGTATATATCTTTTTGCAATAATTCATGCATATTTATACCTTTGTTATGAAGTATTGTATTTATATTTTAATGTATTGCATTTTCTCTTTCAATAATAAATTTACCTTAAATTATCATTACCTTTTATTGTAATGTATCTCCTTATATAGAGAGGTCTTCCGTCGAGAATTGGATAGGAAGAAACTGTTCCTTCCCCCAGGGCTGGACACCTTGGTGTGAAAGTTTTGGTCGTTTGAATGAGACCTTCAAAACCGAGTTGGGAGGAGTAGGCATAAAAAGGAACATTCACTGCTTAACAGACCTGAGTGCCTATCAAAGGTCTTAATTTGAAGCACATGGCCGGTAAATGGTGACGTCTCTATTTCAGTGGAAATTCTTAATCGGAACCTTATAAACATACAAACAGTGAATTAACAATCATTTCTTGGTGAAATTGATAAGTTTGTTATTGACGTATGACAGCCGCACCGCAATAATTGCACTGAAATAATATACATAATATAATAAGATATTACCAATAATTATCAACAAACCATCTTGCTGGAGTGCGTTGCAAGTAATTTATCAAACTTGCTATAATAAAGCGTCCTTTGATGAATTACACTTTATTCCAAGTTAAGGTTAGTCAACCATTTAGTAAATCCTTACAAAGATACATTGCGTGTTCTAGTAAATGTTAAACCAAGCTTCTTTCATTACTTCTCACTAAGATATTGACAGTAGTGAAGGAAAAACTTCAAAAGTACTGTGCAAAAATATATTCAAGGAGTGGTGTGAATCAGATGTAGATACTCAAAAACTCCAAAGAACTTTTGATCAATTTGAAATCACAAGATGTTACCAGAATCAACAGCTAAAAAATTAACGTTTTTTCAACATTATACACAACCATTCCGCACGATAAATTAAAGTCCAGGCATTTTTATATCATTGAGAGCTGCTTTGTCAGTCAAAATGGAACTCGTAAATTTACTCACCTGGTCAATGGTCATTTGTTAAAACATTTGATTGCATACACAGTTACTCTGAAGTTTACATAAAAGAGATGCTTGGGTTTCTGATTAACATAATCTACGTGGTTTTCATATCTCCATATAATTCATGTAAGGTATACTAGTAATATTTTAACATGTACATGTATAGCAACATTATTTTAGGCCGATATATAATAATATTTTTATTACATATAGCATATGGAGAAAACTAACATTATTTAAAGTATTTAAAACAATATTTAAAGTCCGTAAAACAATACTTAATAGTAGCAGAGCACACACGGATCTCCAAAACATCAGAGGTGGGATACCTTGGAAGGTACGTACCATGGAGACGTGAGCATCCCCTGCATTCCGGCCACACCCAACGCATGCTCCTTGTCATAATCTGGAAATAATTACTGAAACATACTACATTTCACTTATCTGACTTATTGTATACTACAACAAGACGTGCAGGGGGGCAGGCTTTAATTGAATATTTTCTGCAGTACATGGTTATGTCTTGGACATCACCGTCCCGAAGACGATACTTCGCTGAATTCTCCTGAAATGTCAATAACACATAAATAATAAAAAACTTAAAGTTCAGATTCATGTATATACACAGGGAATTGAATTAAATTGTGTTCTGAATGTTGATTTTTTTTTTTTTTGCAAATGTTTAGAAATGATAAATTACATCTTTGTCTGCTTTTGCTTAAAAAGATTTGATGTGTCTGCCTCTACAATAAAAAAGAGAATTAATTAAAACCATATATTATGGCTATCTCACTTTTTTTATTTATTAAAAAACACAGAATTATATTCATCTTATTTTCTTGTAAGCAAATTTTCATAACCGTACATTTTAATTTCAGCTGGATTTCGCATAAATGGTAATAAAGGTTTTAAATCTTGAATGAAAATATATCAGGTTACAATGCTTAAGATAATCTTTTCAATTTAAAGTAACCGTATATAGTATGATTCATCGATCCTTTTAATTTAAGACGATCTTTAAATACGTTTCAGATCATATCGAACGACTTCTCCGACTTTATTTAAATGAATTTTAGTAAAGTTTGAAATGCTCAGGGTGTAAAATGACAAGTGATACACAATACTGTCAGTGGATTTTGCGTGAATATGAATATTAAGTTCAGTGACTAAATATTTTCATACTTGATCGGTTCTAAATGATTGCATGATAATTGAAATAACCAATGAATGCTTATAAATGGAAAGATTGAAACTGCACAGAGAAACAATTAAACCCGATCACTAAACAAGGAATTTTATACAATGAAAAGTATATATTTTATTGTTCTTTAAAGCGTAAAATGAACGTCACAAATGGATACTCAATGAAGTATATTTACATTTGTAAAATTCAGGTCATTGTTTATGATGCAGTTTTACAACGTGCAGTATCTACGTATCTAAAACTTTTTAAGGATTATGAAACAAAGTTTTGATTAATTAAAATATCACAAAATTTAAATGGCTATTCCGTTTCTACACAACAAAAAATTATGAATGTATACACATTTTAACAACAAGAAAATTGCGTAAATGTTAAAAAAATGGCATACCTTCATCACCCATAAAAAGCTAACATGAAAGGGCGATCCACAAATGCATTAATTAATCTGTACAGATTTCTCCCTCTCGCACAGGAAATGGTAGTAAATGTAAATATAAAAATTTGAATATATGATATAGAACTCTTTTTTGTAAGATGAACATTTCATTATCACATTTGATTCCATTTCTTGTGGCTTCCTGGAACATTAGTGCATATAGGACATCCAGTCAATTTCTGATATCTTTATCAAAATTAATTAATGAAATGAATAAATAGATAAAAAAAAAAATAGATAAATTAATAAAATTTAAAAATAAATAAATAAACACATAACAAATGGATAGAAATAAACTAATTAATAAAAGCAAAACAGGAATAATAATTTTTTTGAAAATTTTCTCAGCTGACAATGATGGTTTTCTCCTGTTTTCATTCTGTTTCCAATATTCGAATTCCATCGATCTTCTAGATGTTTGTAACATGATATCAAGGTTTTCCCATAGAAGGCGTTATCATTGTGGAAATAATTTATAACTGTTGTATGCAGAAATGAGGTACGGAGAATTGTGTGCAATGACAAAGATCAATTCATTTAAAACTCTAACCTACGCTTCCCTTACGACAATCCAATCCTCTGAACTCTAAATCTCTTCGCCCCGTTTGCTGTTCACTCTCGGTGGTTTCGCCCCTTGTGGTTTTCTTCAAACATATTTAACATGATGTTAAGTTTAAGGAAACGGATTAGTATAAGTTCTTGAAACTTGTTTCCGAATCCTTTTTGATCTTTGTAACTACTTGCCTGTACTTGCTCGTCATGTTCAAATAAAATATGGTTTAAACTAACATGATGTTATGGAGATATTATTTTTTAACAGTGGGTGTTTAGATTAACATTTTAAATGAGAATTTCAATTTCATTCAATTAAAGTTGGCGATCATGAAAATGATACATACCACATAAAAATTTCCGTGTTGGAAAAAAAAATCATAAGGATGGATGATAGAAGCAAAAATCACTGAAATATCTTAACTTAACATTTTTTAGAACTAAAATGAATCATTTAAACAAATAGGGTCTCAATCGTTTACTAAAAATTATCTTACAGTATATTGTATCACTGAAGTAGATCATTTAATTTGGAAAGATTGAAAATATTTCCCATCGCATATACACAAAAAACACTACTCCATGGAAGAGACCATTTGTCATATAGAATAAACTACTTATACTACACGTGCAAAAAAAACCATAATAAACCTCTAATAACCTATCATATTAAAGATAGAATCAAAACAACTCGATGGGAAACCGCTCAGTCAGCAAACACGTAATTATAATTAGTGTCCAATCACCCGTTACTTCTGAGAATCGTCCGAACGGAAATTCCTTAACAGTTTCGTTTTGGACAGTCAACCTTGTCGAATAAAATTCTCAAGTTCGGCTAAAACCAGGGATAAATCAGACTGGAATAGAACTTCAATACCTTGGATAGGAGTTTGAGATTTTACTTTCGATATGACCAGCATCAGGGTAAGTTTTGATTTTTAAAACTAGGGCTTCAAGAGGCCAATGCCCCTTACTCAACGGCGGTAATCAGTAAGCCTTTCAACAGATTTTTCAAGTTGCACATAGATTAAAAAAACATTTCATAGAGAGAAAGAGATAATAACATACATACCTTTAATTAACTCACTGAAACGTCAAGTTTTACGATGTTGTGTAATGAGGACAGGTAACTCAAGTGTGAAAAATGACCAACTAAGTGCCGGTTTATACGACAGCGTATTCGTGAAATTTTAACAATGTAGAATTTTTTTTTTTAAATCGTTTGTACAATTTAATAAATTGTACAAACGATTTAATAAATCGTACAAAAATAATTCTTGTACAATTTAATAAATCGTTTGTACAATTTAGTAAATCGTTTGTACATCGAAACCATAACATAGGATGGGGAAGTCTTCAAATATTTTGCTCGTCACAGTTATTGTATTATGTTAACTTTTAAAGCATATATATATTTTTTATTTTTATTGATATTTTTTTTAATAAAAGAAATTGTAGAATTTCTCAAATATCTTTGCATGCATTTGATTTTTTTTATTAAGGAAAAAATGATATTTACTCAATCAGAGACAATCCAACTGCTAATCTTTTTAAATCTTTTCTTCAAAACATTTAAGGAGAGGATTGATTTTTTGTTCATATGGATGTTTGCATTTTTAATTCACATTGTGAATAGCATTGCTTAGGCCTGTGACGAAATTCCCAACAATTATAGCACTAAAGCCTTGGGAAAATGCTAATTTGGCCATAATAATAGAGACAGCATTTTACATGTAGACTAGCACATATTTGTATATAACATTTCTCGTCCCAAAAAATCGATTTATTGCAAGAGCATACACTATACCTTCAATGCATCATGCCTAGTTTTGACATATAAATTCAAGAGGCATGAATTTATTTGAAAGGTGCCGTGAACCTGATGAAATCTTGAAACTATAAATTGATTATACTTATATACTTGACCAGCAAAATATTCTTTCCTGTGGGTCAACAAATGTAATATTAGCATTTTAATACATGAAGTGGAATTTATAGGTTCCTAGCACTTTTCACGAAGTTATATACTGTTGAAAAGAATCAGTTTTTAAAATTAAGTTTGTTTCTTTTATGCTACACATAGTAATGAAAATATATTTTTTTAGCAATATCAACAAAAAGTAAAGTTAATTGAGCTTTCTGGCAATCCTCTTTTAAAACATTATGCATTTCTAAAAAATCTTATGAAAACAATTTATTTATCTTCTTCGTAAATTCAATTCTCAAAAATTTCATAAAATATTTTAAAATGATTTTGATTATTTTAATACAACCATAGAAAGAAAAAAAAAATTAAGAAATAATAAACAGCACCTAAAACTCTAAAGATATCATTAAAATTACAAATATATATTTATTTTGTTTTTGTTGAAACATATTCTCCAGTTATCTCAGTTTTCTTTAAGTCGTATTATTTTCTTTTGTTTAAACTTGAAACAACAATGGGCATGTATTAATTTTGTTTTAAGATATACTTTTGTGGAACGCTTTTCTTGAATTTTAAGAATGTTTTGTCTAAGCAATCTTAAACTATACATCTATAATATATCTTATTGACATATTGCTGATCATTCCATATTTTTAAATCTCATGATAAATGAACATGTATTTTGACAGAAAAATAAAGTAAAAATTCCTTTTTAGATGACAGATGTTTAGTATTGTGTCTTTCTCATTTACATTTGACCTATTTCAGCAGTTTTTCTAAACCTTTCAAATTTTAGACACCTGGTTAAGCTGTTATAGTTTACTATATTGTTCAACCATGCTATGACTATGCAAGAATGATCTGAAGTTTAAATTTCATTCAAGTTGCAGAGTGAAACAATTTTTTAGAAATTTCTGCATAAATATTATCGAGGACATTCGTATTATTTCTATTAATGACACATAGAGATCCTTTGTGTAAGTATTTCATTTCACCGCATCGTAATACAAAATAAGCTATTTCATCTGTGTCCTCATTCTTAACCGAGAAAAAAATACCAGAACATTCAACCTCAGGAAGAATCTTTAGAATGATAATTAACGAAAAAAACAAAGACGAATTCTCAAAACTAAAACAAATCAAAATCGAAGGAATTGTGTTTCTGTTACTTAAGTAAATCTGCAGTATGAAAAAAAAATCGTTCATTGAGCAATAAACATGAAACAACTTATATATGTATGGATTGCCCAAATCAAACTTTAAAAGATATCTAATGGTAATTACTAGGTTTGCATGTATATCTATTCAAATAGAATTTTTTTTTACAATGAATTAACTAGTAATTACATTGATGAGAAAATAAAGGTTTTTTAGGGGTGTGTATGTTGTTTAAAGTCTCTCTCTAGAATCTCTCACTCAAATGGAGACACCAGCACTTGCTGGTGGTGAGCTGAATTTTTCTTCGTATATTCGGAGCTTATGGCCATTGAGCAGAGAGGGATCCTTCTAGTGCTAGCTCCTACTTCAACATGGACCTCAGTTAATACGGTCTGACTTATCGGAAGGACCGGTCTCCACGTCGCACAGTGGGATTTGAACCTGCGATATATGAATCCACTCCTTATACCGCGAATCTAGAGCAGACGCAATATATAACATAAGATCCGAATATAGGGGAGAAATGATGACAGATATTCAGTACTGTGTCTTTCACATTTACATTTGACCTATTTAAGCAGTTTTTTTATGGAAAGAAATGTTGCGATTGATTACAGCTTCTGTATCCTTCAACTCGACCTTTAGATATCTGGACGACGTAATTTCGTCTTGTGTCGTCGATTAACACTGGTTATTTCCATACTTATTTTGGTACAATATATCCCAGTGAGCGTGAGCAGAGATAAAAGATACCACAGAGTCCGACATATATGTTTCATATTTGGATATTTTACCTGAAAAAGACTTTAATGGTAATTTAATAACCAAAGTTTATTATGAACGTGATGACTTTAATTTTTCAATCGTCAACTTCCCTTACTTATACACGATATACCTTCATCACCTGCATACAGTGTTTATTTCTCTCAGTTGATTTGAGCATTAGAGGGGTTAATTAGGAATTATTATATTCCGTAATACAAGGCGGTTTAAAGAGCCTGTATTCGACAAGAACCTTTATTGTCAAACACTGGTCCTTATTCTGGCAATGATTTTTTAATTAACTTCTCTTAATAATTTTATCGTGCAGTAAAACGTCGTTTATATTTAACTTATTGCATGAACGATGCCAATGACTTTGCTTACGTCTTAGTATCTTATTTAAATTCTAATCATATTTGCAATGCGCAGACTTCATACATTATAATAAGGGGGAAAACTCATCAAAGGGCAATCATTTTACAATTCGTTGGATCATTTGTTAGGCAACCATTTTCAGGTGAAGTCAACTTCATTGTATCTTTTTCCGTACTAACATTTGTATAAAATTTACCACAATTATTCAAAAAATGTTTTAAGCAACAATTTAAAAAATCAAGTTTAGTTTTATCTAAAACACGTTCTAGTTGAATGTTAAGAATATTTTGTGTAACCACTTTATACCGTTCATAGTAGCTAAGTCTGTAGGGTACTCGCTACGTGATCGGGAGGTCCTAAGTTCGAGTCTCGGTTGCAACTGATCTAAGTCGATAAAAAATGGGTAGTTTATTCACCATGTGTGATAGTGAAAGTTGCTTGTCCTTTGGATGAAACCTTAAAAGCCGAAGTCCAATTTCACAACAGGTAAATACGATAAAGATTAAAGACCCTTACTTTATAATGGCCCCAAGTGCCGAGTAAAGGTCAAAATTTGAAGCCCGTCATCGATATATGGTAAAGTGTTTATATGGGTGACAAATTCTCAAGTGGAACGTAAAACACATACAATCAATCAATCAATCTAATAACCTTAACAAAAAAAACTGCATAACTTTTAACAGATTGTGAATCATTTTACGTTCACATAATATTAAGGTAAAAGAAAAAGAATGTAGAAATAAACATTATTTTCTAGTTGACATATTTTTTTTTCGTAAATTGTGTCTTTCTGATCACTTTAAATTGACCTATTTCAGTAGAATTCATCGACTCTTGTAAATCTAAGATGCCAGGTGAAGCTGTTATTACTTATTATATTGTTCAACCTCAGTGACTTTGCAAATTTGAAGTTAAAATTATATTCTCAGGTTGCAATGTGTCACACATATTTATACGTTTCTGCATAAACATAATAGAGGAAACAAGTTCTAGATGCACAAAAGAGGGTCCATTCTGGAAAATAAAATATGAAATGATAACATATCACTGTGTTGTTGAGAAAATAAACTATTTTGTGTGTAGCTTAAAAATGAGCCAAAAACAGTACAACCAGAAAATTCGACTTGATGAATATTCTTTCGAATGAAAATTAAAGAGAGACCAACGGCGAAGCATGTATTATTTACAAAAGCCACATGGTTTTCATAAACAATTTGTTACAGCATCGATGCTGATTTGAATGCTTCCTTTGCTTGCTGATTTAATGCTATTAATCCTTATCCTGATGCTGTTTGATAATTAGGTTAATGCTACCAAAAATAGCATCATGATACCTGAAGTAGATAATTGAATTTCATCATTACCATTAAAGGTCTTTAAAGTGCCTTATATAATTTTTGGATCATAATATCTCACTATGTATTAATAATCTGAGTACTTTAACTAATTATTTTCTCTATTTTTTTCTTTTACTGAATTAACCTCATTTATACTCTGATGCTCGTAGGTAAATGTTGATGTAAATAGGTCAATGCTACTTTTATATTTTTCTTGCGGATGCTGATCCTGGTAATACTGTTGTTTTTGGACGCTGATCCTGATGCTAGCTGGATACTGATGCTTATTTTGCTTTTGCTGATACTAATTTATGTAACAAAATTAGTTCCCTGAACTGTATTTCCAGGCGATGCAACGTTTTTCGGTCTATCTAAGTGAACTTAGAAAACATCCTTTGATATAGACATTTGTCATCCAAGAATCCCGTCATTCGGTCTTCTGGTACAATACAATTGTTCCGCAATTTAAATATCATTCAGTAAGTTGTATTAATTTTCAGTTGATTTTATAATGAATATCCAAACAATTAAGGGATTGAAAATGACTAGAAAAAGGTGAGGGTTTTCTCTCTAGAACATTATATAGT